TCCTACTATACTGTAAGGTATATTCCTTAATTATGAGGGTTTGGGACGCCAGGGCAGTAGTAGCAGACGAGGTCATAAACGTAGGCCATCCTTGAGCAGGGGTCCATGTACTACGTTTGCTCTAACCTAGTCGTGCCACTCACAGAGCCATCCCACCTCTCCTATGCGGAGCTGGCGGGAGCGCGTGATGTAACATGGTTTATCAGCCACTGTTGGGGCATGGGGTTCCGCCACTTCATTGAAGCAGTGATGTGTCATTCACGGACGACGCAAGCCGTCAATGATTCTTCTCCCAGCTATTGGATCGGCACCTTCAGCAACTACCAGTGGCAGATCGCAGAGGAGCTGGGGTGGGGACAGTGGGAGCAGTCCTCCTTCTACAAAGCATTGACTGCCCAACCTGTAAGGGGACGGTGATGGTTCTGGATAAAGCAGCTGCACCGTTGAAGAGGGCATGGTGCTTGTTCGAAGTCTTGCAGACCAATCTTCGGTCTAGTGCACACAGCAGTTTCCTTGGCTTCCAGCTGTGCACATCCACAGGTGTCTTCAGCCAGGGTGGTGGAAGCACCGACCTGTGTCTAAGAATTGCAGAGCAGTTGGCCTCTCTGGACCTTCGGAATGCAGAGGCGTCGATTCCCGACGACCTTCATATGATCAAATGTTTGGTGAATGCCATGCCAGGTGGTTTCGATGCCATGAACAGCTTCGTCCGCACATCTATTGAAGAAGCCCTCCTCTCCGTCAAGACTCGTTTTGACCAGGAGTTCGGGAAGGCAATCCAGCACTTGCGGTCTTAAGTGCGGCAAGAGACAGAAATACGTCGCAACAGGAAGGGATTGCAGTCCTTGATAGAGTACTATGCTGACCTGAACATTAGCTTAGTGAGCAAGCATACAGACTACTTATATAGTAAAGTTTAAACCAAGTATCCCAACCCCGGAGAGAAACCCGACACCCTAAACTCTTTCCTATTCCTGCACGAAGCGGCACTGCTGAGGACGAGTGTATGTTTGAGTGGGACTTTCCGAAGGACGTGCAAGTGGCGCAGCTTCAAACTTAGGGTTTAAGGTTATAGGGTTTAGGGCTTCGGGTTACAGGGTTTAGGGTTTATAAGTTATAGCTTTTAGGGTTTAGGGTTATAGCTTTTAGGGTTAGGGTTACATAGGGTTTAGGGTTTAGGGTTTAGGGTTTTAGGCAAGTTATAGGGCTATAGGGCTATAGGGCATCGGACTTTGGGTTGCGAGGTTTGGCTTTTAGGGGTTCCCACTTTTCCTAAGTTAGGAACCCAAAATAGGACATAAGCATTAGCATTTCTATAGGGATATCCCTACCTTAATGGGCTTCATTATAAGGGGGTTTATATGGGATATCCCTATACTAATTCTTTCTTATGTGCTTTTTCGGGGCCCTACTAAGGTCGTCTTCGTGCCGATGCGAGCTGCTACGGAGGAGGAGCGAGGACAAATGTTCCACGCCATCCGCACATCCAGCTCAAATCAGGCCCTCCGGAACCCTAAACGGTATCTCTGCCAACCCTAAACCCTAAACCCTAAACCGTAAACCCTAAAAGCAGTATCTCTTTCCGAATCATGCTGAAGTTTAACTACACAACCCTAAACCCTAAATCCTAAACCTTCAACCCCAAACCGCAAAGCCATCGCCCTGGCCGGTAAGTCTCACAACGCCATGACTCCAAAGTCCTACACCTAGGCCTAAAGCCTAGACCGGTTTAGGGTTTAGGGTTTAGGGTTTAGGGTTTAGGGTTTAGAGACCAGAATACTTTCCCTCAGGGTCCATGTGGCTTTGGCCCCAAAGTACCCAAATGGGGACTACTTTAAGGCCAAAGTATCTACTATTTGGGTACATGGACCCTTAGGGTATTGGCTTGGGATGAAGAGTTGTTTGTTTTCTGCGTCCTGGACGGTAAAGGCACAGAGTTTACAGGTCTCTCTAT